TATCCAAAAGATGGGAAACTGTTAAATCTTTAAATTTATGTAGACTTTGCTTAAAAAAACATCGGTTTCCCTGTAGGTATCCTATAAAATGCAACAAAGAGGAATGCCAAAGTAAGCACCATCCCCTTCTTCATGAATATCCTGCTCAAAGCATTAATTCAGAACAAAGGGATAGTTCTATGCAAACTGTAGAATCTCACCACATACCTACATCTTTAGAAAATAATACAACACACGTATTAAACCATGGAACACGTTTCAGAATCATTCCTGTTGTTTTAAGAAATGGAAATATAGAGGTGAAAACATTCGCATTCTTAGATGAAGGGTCTTCTGTAACTTTATTGGAACAAAGTATTGCTCAACGGTTAAACTTAAGGGGAAATCCAGAGCAGCTTTGTTTAAAATGGACAGGAGATCAACAGCGTTTGGAAAATAAATCAGAAAAGGTGTTCTACTCTATAACTGGTGATTATACTGGGGCAAAACAATTTGACCACCGACCAGCCAGAACGGTAAGAACCTTAAATCTTCCAGAACAAACTTTAGATGCAATAAAAATTAAAGAAGAATTTCCCTACTTAAATAATTTACCTTTCAAATCATACGCAAACGCTAAGCCGCAGTTATTAATAGGTTTAGATAACTGGGACTTAGCTTTACCTCTTAGGGTAAAGGAAGGCTTAGAAAACCAACCAATAGCTGCAAAATGCAGGTTAGGTTGGACTGTTTTTGCACTTTTTTCACCAAACCAAAATCAACTACAATACACATATCAAATTTGTGAATGTAGTACTGAAAATCTTACTAATAAAGAACTGTTTGATGCTGTAAAGGATTATTTTTCAATTGAAAGCCTAGGAGTTCAAAATATTAAACCGTTTATTTCCAAAGAGCTCGAAAGAGCTAACCAAATACAAGAAAGCACACTAGTTCAATTTGGTAACCAATATAAAATTGGGTTACTTTGGAAATATGACATCGTGAATCTCCCTAATAGCAAACCTATGGCATTGCAAAGGCTTGAATGTATAGAGAGAAAAATTAATAAAAATCCAGATCTAGGTGAAAAAATGAATAAACAACTTGAAGACTTCTTGAAAAAAAGATATATAAGAAAGTTGTCAGAACAAGAACTTTCACAAAATAAAGAAAAAACTTGGTATCTTCCTATATTTCCTGTCTTCAATCCCAATAAACCCGGCAAGTTTAGAATAGTGTGGGATGCAGCAGCGACTGTTCAAGGAGTATCATTAAATACTATGTTATTAAAAGGAGATGATCAACTTGCTTCCTTATTAGGCGTTCTCCTTCGATTCCGCGAAAGGAAGATTGGGTTTTCGGCAGATATCAAAGAAATGTTTCTTCGTGTTGGAATAATAGACAAAGATCAACACGCACAACGATTTTTTTGGCGTAGTGGTAGTTCTGAAAACCCATAGAAACTTATGTCATGACTGTAATGACCTTTGGGGCTACTTGCTCACCCAGCTGTGCGCAGTTTGTGAAAAACACTAACGCACAGAAATTTAGGGCAAAATATCCAAGAGCTGTTGAGTGTATACTTAAAAATCACTATGTCGACGATCTCTTGGATTCAGCTGATACCGAAGAACAAGCTATACAAATTGCAAAAGAAGTAACTTTGATACATGCTAGAGGAAATTTTGAGATAAGAAATTGGCGATCAAACTCGCAAGAATTGACAAAAACAATGAACTCCGAACAGGAAGTTAAATTGGAAGTCAACCTCGACTTAGGAACCAAAACCATGGAAAAGGTGCTAGGTATGTGGTGGGACTTAAAGTCAGATAATTTTATTTTCAATTTAAGTCTAAATAAAGGCAACAAAGAAGTTTTAAAAGGGACAAGAAAGCCTACTAAAAGAGAGATTTTACAAATTTTAATGTCGGTTTATGACCCTCTAGGTTTACTTGCAAATTTTTTAATTTACGTAAAAATACTTCTCCAAGAAATATGGAGGAGCAATATTTCTTGGGATCAACCAATCACCGATGAGCTATACAAAAAATGGCTTGTCTGGTTAAAACAACTTCCACAAATAGAACAAGTTTCAATTCCAAGATGCTACCTCACTAATCTAGAAACTTGGAATGCTACAATTACTCAAATGCATGTTTTTGTAGATGCCAGTGAATATGCTAGTGCCTGCGTAGCTTATTTAAGAATAGAGGAGAAGGAAACAATAGAATGCGTATTGATTGGAGCCAAAACTCACGTAGCACCCTTGAAACCACAAACCATTCCTAGATTGGAACTTGATGGTGCAGTAATGGGTGCAAGGTTTGCTAAAAATCTTTGCCAACACTTGTCAATAAACGTGCAAGATATTTTTTATTGGTCCGATTCTATAATAGTTTTAAGTTGGTTAAGAAACGAAGATCCAAGAAAACTGTCGAAATACGTAGCATACAGGGTAGCCGAAATTCAAGAAAACTCGATGATTTCGAACTGGAGATATGTCCCAACAAAAAATAATGTAGCTGATGAAGCCACCAAGTGGACAAATCAATCTAATTTAAAAAATTCTGGCCGTTGGTTAAAAGGACCTGATTTCTTATATAAGTCAGAAATCAATTGGCCTTCGGATACCAGCTTAAAAACAAATAATATTACGGATTTATTGACGAATCATGACGCTAATATTAATAATATAACTGCACCTTTAATAAATCTAGATAGATTTAGCCAGTTTAAAAGAGTTTTACGTGCAACTGCATACACCTATAGATTTATTAAACGTCTTCAAACCAAAGGTCAAGTTAAAAACGAATCCGATAGTACATTAACTTCAGAAGAATTATTAGCTGCCAGGAATATTTTAATAAAACAGGTCCAAATGGAATATTATGAAAATGAAATTAAACAACTTAATAGGAAAAATAGCAGTAAAATTCAGTCAACAGTAAAGAAATCAAGTAATTTATTTAAGTTATCACCATACCTGGACGAAGATAGTTTACTTCGCATCCGGGGAAGGCTAGATGAAGCAACAGATCTCAGTACAGACACAAAAAGACCAATCATTTTACCAAGAGAGAGCCGTTTAACTTTATTAATCGTTGAGGACTACCACAGAAACTACCGTCATCGAAATCACGAAACTGTAGTAAATGAGGTAAGACAAAAATTTTATATTCCAAAACTTCGACGGATGGTTAATAAAATCAGAAATAATTGCCAATATTGTAAAGTAAACTTTGCCATACCAAAACCACCCGAAATGTCACCGCTTCCTCCATGTAGACTAACAACATTTACTGCACCATTTACACATACTGGCGTTGATTACTTTGGTCCCATGAATGTAACAGTTGGAAGACGAACGGAGAAAAGATGGGGAGCCTTGTTTACATGTCTTACAACTAGAGCTGTTCACCTCGAACTAGCCTACAAGTTGGATGCTGACAGTTGTATACTATGCTTTACAAATTTTATTAATAGAAGAGGACGACCAAGGCATATTTATTGTGATCGTGGAACAAATTTCGTTGCAACAGAAAGAGTTTTGAGAGAAGAACTGCAAAAGGTTGACAATGCTTTAATAGCGAATTCACTAGTAAGTCCCACGCTAACATTTCACTTTAACGCACCAATTTCTCCCCATATGGCAGGAGCTTGGGAGCGTCTGGTGAAAGCTGTAAAAATTTCATTGTATGATGCTCTTCCTACTAGGAATCCCACCGATCAATTGCTTTATAGCTGTCTAGTAGCTGCAGAAAACATAGTAAATTCGAGACCTCTCACTTACCTTTCATTAGATTCGGAAGAGTCCGAAGCTCTAACTCCTAATCACTTTTTAATGGGATCTTCAAATGGTGATAAACCGATCGGACGACTAGATGACAACAGTAATGTATTAAAATTTAGTTATTTATATCGAGAACAATTTGCAAATAAATGTTGGCGCCGTTTTATCTCCGAATATATACCTCAGCTACTGCTGAGACCAAAATGGCAAAAACAAGTTGTCCCCATTAAAGAGGGCGATATTGTAATTATATGTGATAAAGATTTACCAAGATGCAATTGGCCAAAGGGTAAAGTAATTCAAGTAAAAAAGTCACCTGACGGACAAGTACGACGGGCAACAGTTCATACAAAAAATGGGATTTTTGAACGTCCTGTTGTCAAGTTAGCATTAATACCTTTAAACGAAAAACAAACAGACAGTACATCTTCTCTTTGCGAGAGAAATGTACTGGGCGGGAGTGTTACGAATAATGTTTAACATATTTTAAAATTCTTATTTTAACATCCTGTATTTTTTTATCTTGTTTTGTTTCTAAGATTTTATGGAAAAAAATTGTTTATGTTACTTACTTTTCCAAAAACTAGGTCTTAATCAAAAATAATAAAATAATTGTCAGAATAATATAAGAAAGTAATAATCAGCACAGTGGAACAGTAAGTAATAGAGAATTTGTTGGTTCTATATTTTTATTCATGTTATTTTAGGAATTTGAGTACATTGATTAACTTGTGTATTTACAAATTAATAAATCATTACTACAAATCCGTCTATTGCTGCAAGATATTCCCAACAAGATCTATGATAAAATCAGCAAGCTCAATTTGTAATGACATCTGCATGATTTTGGAGTCGGATTTTTTAAATTACTTTTATAATTTATAATTTTCTGTATTCTAAGCCAAAAGTTTGGAACACATTATTAGTAAAATATCCTAAATGTTTGAAAGAGATCGACTTGCAAAATCAAATAGGGTGTTTGTCAACCCCAAAGCAAATTCGTTTTAATGACTGGCCTAAAAAGGCAGTTACAAGTCATCATTTTTCATCATTAAAAATAAGAACGTATTAAATTAGGCTTCAAAATATGATTTAGTACGACCCTGGCTCATATTACTTAAATATTATGCATTGTGTATACAACTGCATATACTTACAATTGTAAAATTGGTTGCCTAACACCTAAAATTGAATATTTGTTGTTCTGTGCTTGTCATCTGTCAGTCCTGTCACATTCAAGGCAAAATAATAATATCAACAAACTTCTCGTGTCAAATATTTGGATCCAAATATAAATATTAGTTAATAGATATAAAATAGTGCGGAAATAATAAGTTAATGGGAAAATTATGCAAGATTGTTATAAGTTTTAAGGTACTTCATGAACACCAAGATGGTTTAAGGTAAGCAAAAGTAATTTCCATTATTACTTAACAATGTGGTTCATTTACCTATAACCATAAAATTGGTTCGTATATTTTATAATTTTGAAACGTGTACATTAGATACAAATTGTTAAAAACAGTAGTGGATACTCAATAAAATAATTTCTTACACTTCAAGGACGTAAAATGAATAAAATTATGAAAAATGTGATCCCAGACTGGTTTTGTTATCTCTTCATTGGTATGCACAAGTATAATTTATAATGCTTTTAATCGAGTTCTATTTTTATCCACTCTTGTTTATCAATTGCAAAATATAAAATACCCAACACAGTGTGTATCATAGGTGCTTAGGTGAGTTATCATAAATGTGTGCAGTGCAAATAGAATTGGTTTGGACTATTTGATACTGATAAACTACTATATTCAATATTTTATTAATTAGATAGGTATTTAATTTTAATATTTCAACTATTTTTGAGTAAATAGTGAGAAATTAGGCTAATTTTTTAAACAATTTAGATAACTTTTACTCTATTTTAAATTAATTGTCATTTTGAGGCATTAATTTGTAAACCTAAGACCTAAGCCAGAAAAGAAGGTCTTTTCTTTGGATTTGAAAATTCCATGGATGTATTTGGTGGATAATTTGATTTGTAATAAAAGTTTAAATTATTTATTACCTAGATACTGAAGTTAAAAGGTTTTCAAAATTAAGTAATTGGACTTAGAAGGTTTGTGAGCTAAGGCATTGATTTATAGATTGTTTAATATTATTTTTCAACAAATTACACATTTTCTAAAATGGGTAGATATATATTATTTTTTTTGTTAATTGCTATGTTTATTACCATCATTAAAGGTGATAAATCCTTAAATAGTGTACTCTACAGTTAACTAGGTATACAGTGAGCATCATAAGTCTTACCCCCCCTAACTAACTCGTTACTGGAGTCTTGTTAGGAAAATCGCCGAGACAGGTCGATTTTTGTTTTCTACAATGTACATTTTTGTATGATTAGTTTACCCTTAATTTCATCCCTTACTGGAGGGGAACAACCCTTTCGAAAAATTTAAATGGCATGGGGTGGTGAGTGATAGCTCATTTGAAAGGGGGTTTTATTCTCTATTTAACCGTGCAAAAAAAAAATTAAATTTGCTTCATTACGTGTTGATTTATTAATGTTTAAAAATAACAAAACCTCACAAAATAGGAAAGCAGCTAAACTAATAGTGACCTTCTAATGGCAAAAAGTCTTACTTCACGTCTGAACCAAAACCGAAATCATGCAGGGCCGAATTTTAATTCTAAGGATAAGTGCGCTACGTTAATTTCCGTTATTCTGAAACAACAATTAGTCGAGAATTAATGAAGCAAATTTCAAAATTTTTTACATGGTTGAATAGAGAATAAAACCCTCTTTCAAATGAGCTATCACTCACCACCCCATGCCATTTAAATTTTTCGAAAGGGTTGCTCCGCTCCAGTAAGGGATGAAATTAAGGGTAAACTATTCATACAAAAATGTACACTGTAGAAATCAAAAATCGACGTGTCTCGGCGATTTTCCTAACAAGACTCCAGTAACGAGTTAGATGAGGGGGTAAGACTTATGGTGCTCACGGTATAGTTTTTAAAATACTTTAAACTATAGTTACTAGTAATAGCAACAATAGAAATTTCCTTTAATTTTAGACCATTCAAGGCCGCCGAGAGCCAGATCAGGTCCCAGGACAATATTCCAGATCGGGCCCTGTGACAATTTTATAAAAAAGTTTTAAAAAAAGGTCTTCAAGCAAAAACTTCGCCCCTCTTGTGTCGAACTTCTGAGAGTAACAAAAAAAACCTAGGCTAAGTTGTCGGGCTTCCCCATACCGCTGCCCCCCCCATACCGCTGCCCCCCCCCCACCCCCCATATAACGCTGCCGGTCACCCATACCGCTGCCGGTCCCCCATACCGCTGCCGGCCCCCCCATACCGCTGCCGGGCCCCGGGAATTAGTCCCAGCTGCCCCTCCCCCTCTTGTCGGCCCTGAGACCATTAGCTTATCTGCCAAGACGTTCTATTGTTTAATTTAGAAAAAACAAAAATAAATGCATGTTTTTTCTATTATTTAAACAATAAAAACAAATATATACTTCCATTGTATTGTTTGTTAAATATATAGGCACAAATACTAATAAGTGCACAGTTATCTTATCAGAAAATAAAATATTTACAACTTTGATTTTGAAAATAAAAGGAGTAAAGATATAGAGTATCCAAAAAACTAATTATTCCATGAATTGATTCACATAGCCCATATTAACTTGGTTTATTAATATTTAGATAACACAAAATGATAAGGTTAATTAAATGATATAGGTGGATGATTTTTATAGAATTCTTTTCAGTATAGTTACCAAATCAACAAAATTTGAAATACTTTTGTCAGAAGTAGAAAGAAGTAACTAAATAAAGAAATAAATTCATTAAATAGGTAATCCTAATATATATACAATTTATAAATGCTGTTTGATAGCTCTTAAATACATTATATAATAATAATTACTTATAGATAATATAAAATAAGAAATAAAAAATAAAAATTTAAAAGAAAGAATAATCAGAGTTGTGTTCATAACATATTTTTTAGATATGGTTTAGTAAGACTAAATAAATATTTTTATTGTTGTTTTAGATGATCCTCTGGCAAATTTTGTTACTATTTTTCTGTATTTTTCCAATATGGAGTCGGTTACCTGAAGGGCAAGATCTTCGCGAAATAAGAGAAGATGAATGTTATCAAAAGTGTTTTCATCAGTCGGCGGAGTCATGCCCAGATACTCATGCTCCCTGTAGATGCCAACAATTGGCGAATTGCAAAAAAGCTGTAGTATGCTGTAATGTTAATGACCAAACGTTAAAAGAGCAACTTAAATGTGCAAGTAAGTAACATTAAAACTTTAAAAAACATTAAAAACAATACAATTAAAAAACACTTAAAAAACATTAAAAAACATTTAAAACTCATTAAAATATTTAAAACTCATTAAAAAATCAAAAAAATATCAATAAAACATTAAAACAAAACATTAAAACTTATTTGTTTATTGTCTTTTTAGTTTTTGTATTTTTACAGCTTTTGTATTTTTTATTTTTACTTTCTATATTTTTAGTCTTTATATTCCTTGCATCACCTAATAAATTGTTCTGTAATTGAGATTTTTCCTGTTTTACAATAATTTTTTTTTTTTTATCAAAAAATAATATACAGATTTTCACAATATAAAAATGCTAATAAAACTATCTAACTTATATCTAATATTTTGAAGTAAAAAAGTAAATATAAACATTAAAAAAATATTTGAAAACATTAAAAAAACATGTTAAAAACATTAAAAACAATAAAAAACATTAGAAAACATGAAAGAAGGGATTTTTTGATTTAATTAAATTATTTAAAATTAATTCTGATGCCTTGATAGGATTCCCTACTCGACCATTCACTGTAGGGTTCTAATTAACAGTGCTGTTCCTAAAGTGGCGCTGGGAAACAGTAACAAAGCCTACACAGAACACGAGGCTAATAGCCTTAGTAGTCGAGGCCGATGATTAAAAAACATTTAGACATTAAGAAACATATTAAAACATCGTTAAAACAAAACATTAAAACTTATTTGTTTATTGTTTTTTTTTTTAGTTTTTGTATTTTTATAGTTTTTTGTATTTTTTTAATTTTTACTTTCTATTATATTTTTATTCTTCATATTCCTAGCATTACCTATTAAATTAGTCTGTAATTGGGAGTTTTCCTGTTTTACAATAATTGTTTTTTTTATTAAGTAGTTGAAATAATATATAAATTTTAACAATATAAAAATGCTAATAAAAATATCTAACGTACATCTAATATTTTGAAGTGAAAAAGTAAGTAGAAACATTAAAAAACTTTAAACATTAAGAACTTAAAAAAAAACATTTAAAACTCATTAAAACATCAATAAAACATTAAAAGACATTAAAAAACATTAAAAAAAAACATCAAAAAACATTTTATTACTATTTAATGACCGATTTGTATTCTTTATAATATTGTATTATGTTTTAATGGGCTCTAAATAAACAATATTGTTTAATTTTTTAAAAGACTTAACTACAAGACAAAACGAAATAGAGGCCCTTCACATTCGAAACGCCACTTTAGAAGTTTTACATCTCAACCTACCCGAATGGAAGTACCTTCGGTCCATGACAATAACAGACGGACATATAAAAAACGTCAGCGAAGCTTTTCCGAAAATGACAATGGTTTCTTGTTTGAATTTATCATCGAATGGGATACAGGGAATTCAGCGAAGATCGCTGGTGAATCTCTACAAATTGAGCTATCTCGATTTGTCCCACAACAATTTGACTGAAGTGCCTAATTTTAAAATAAAAGGTGCTGTTACGTTGGATATTTTAGGTAAATATTTTAATTTACTAACATTAAAAACTTAAAAAAAAAACATTAAAAAACATTTAAAACTCATTAAAACAAAGCATTAAAACTTATTTGTTTATTGTTTTTTTAGTTTTTGTATTTTTTTAATTTTTACTTTCTAAATATTTTTATTCTTCATATTTCTGTTAAATTGTTCTGTAATTGGGATTGTTCCTGTTTTATAATAAATGTTTTTTTTTATTAAATAGTTGAAATAATATATAGATTTTTACAATAAAAAATATCTAACGTATACCTAATATTTTGAAGTAAAAAAGAAATTAAAAAAATTAAGAAGTATCTAAAAACATTAATAAACAATAAAAAACATTAGAAAACATTAAAAAACAATAAAAAACATTAGAAAAACAATAAAAAACATTAAAAAAACTTAAAAAAATAGTCGCTTGCTCGATTTTAATTTACTAATGGTGTTTTTTCTTTTAATTATAGACAGAGTTCAAATTATTTAAAGAATCTTATGTATTAAAAAAAAATGCTTGTAAAAAAGTAAACGTATATAAATGCCTATTTGTTTGCGTTCGCCCGATTAAAATTCAAGTGTTCCCGTTCCCTCTAGGAACCGTCTAGGTACTGTCAGCGGTGCCGGTATCCTAATTTTCAAAAAATCTAAAGGATCTATCATAAATGAAATTTAAAAAATGAAGTAAACAAAAACACTTTCCAAAACAACTTTTTAAGTTTTATCACATGCTCTTTTTACCTTTTTATTTATTTTTGACTTTTTTACTGCTTTACTTTTATTTCCATAAGAAATGATAAGCAATTAATATATTTTTTTCCGTCTTAGGAAATCCATCAATTTCTTGCTCAAGCGTCAGTGAAGCTATTGGTAAATCTGGTATTACTTTTAACAACGAAAATTCTACATTTTGCCAAACGAAAAACTTTTATTGGTTTCTGTCCAACGATCAAGTAATAATCTCTGAATTAAGAAGAATTCACGAGGTAAAAACTATTTTAATTTCATTTTTTTTTATTTAATTATAATCCAATTTTTTCTTTTGGCAATTTTAGCTAGAGAATAACTGCATATCAAACTGCACGTGTAGTCCTTTCGTATTGAATCTTGGTACGAAAATACCTAGAGTGCATACAGTAGCTGTCAATTGCTCAGGAAGTCATTTATTAACTATGCCACATAAGTTGCCTCCTCATACAGTGGCGTTAGATGTCTCCAACAATAATGTAAGTTTATTTTGTTATTATTATTAGAGGGTTGTAAAATTTCTTGGTTTTTTTACAACGTTACCTTGGCTTAACAGAGTTGACACCTAAGAGATAAAATTTGGCGCCCAACGTGGGGCCAAATATATATATTTTTAAATACTTTTAATTTGTGGACATATTATTGACAACAAACTAGAAACTATATTTTTCTTACAGATCACGTCTTTGAAGGAATTGCTTGATCCATCTTATAAAGAATTAATATTTTTACAAGCTGACAATAATCAAATAACGTCCATAGAACAATTGGAGGGTACTCAGTTTAAGAGCATTTTTGAATTTTTGAGTCTGAAAAACAATAAGATTACATATGTAAGTATTAATTATTGTGTAAATGTAACAATTTATATTTTGCTGCATCTAATTTAATTTCAGATTGACACTTATCTATTGGAGTTTTACAGACCCGCTGTCAGTGTACGTGAAGTATATTTAGGATTAAATAAATTAACTTGTGATTGCACCACCATGACAGACTTTAAGGTATAGTAATTGCAAATACATTACTAAGTAACATTCGTGTTCATATTTAAAATCATAATTTATTTAAATTCCTCAGAGGTTCCACAAGGTTCCCATTCGGGACCATTATTATTCTTACTATATATCAATGATATTGAAGATATTTTCTAAATAATTTTAAAAAGGTAGAAAATCATGTTACTGTTTATGCAACATTCTACTTAATATTTTGCACATTCTGTCCTTCGTTTGGTACCAATGCAAACGACTTGGAATACCGTATATTGATGGATTCATTTTTCTTTTTGGGTTCGTGCATATGACATGACAGTGACTAATTATTCCCTCCATTTTAGATGTGGTTACAAACAAAATCCGACTTCATAAAAGACTATAAAGAAATAATGTGCGACACCGACGAAGGGGACATTCGAGTCGTCGATATAGACCCATCGAAATATTGTCAGAGCAACGAAGACTGGACCGATTACATATATTACATAATAGCCGCCGAAGTGTTCTTATTGGTTAGCCTTATCGCCAAAGTGTCTTACGATTACTGGGTGTTTAAAACCGCGGGATATTTACCGTGGCCGGCTAGCAAAATGCCGAAATTGCCTTGCGATTGGCTGTGCGAATGAAGCAAGTAGTTGCATCGGTAGTTGGAGGGGATCACTTGAATCTTAAAACGTTATAGTGGGACGTTGCAAAATAGTAAATTTGCATATAGGGTGAGTCGGGAGTAACGGCACAAACTCTAAGCGGTTGATTCTTGAGTTGTAGGAATCTTTTCCTATAGGAATTTTAGACATTTTTCTATGTATATGAAATTTGTGACTTACCCTATATACTTAAATTTACTATTTTACTTTTTATACACCTGAAAGTAATGGGAAAAATTCCTGTGATTTTAAATGCATACGGTTAACAAGTTCATATTTTCTAAATAGTTTTGGATGTACCTGAAGCAGCTACTTTAGCTTTTCTAAATTTATCGATGGTTGTGATAATTTTGCTCGTGTAGTTTTAATTTAAAACCAGTCCGTCATGACATAAAATTGAAGTATAGAATATTTTTACGGTGATACAGCGACTATTTAAGCTTTCGTTTTTAAATGTAAAAGTTATTGGTTTCTTCGCACTTTTTCTTCAAAAGTGACACAACTCAAAATTCACATTTTTGGGTAGTTAAAATTCTTCTGCGAAAGTTTGGACTTTTAATAATCGAAAAATTCCAGTGAAGCGGGATCGGGTCAGCTAATCACAAAATAATCATCAAAACCTTAGAGTCTTTTTGAATCAAAGTTAAAATAATTTTGATGATTAATATAGTGTTGTTTACTGTGAACTTCAAGGTGTTAATGATTAACTAATATGTGAATTTTGAGTTGTGTCATTCTTAAGATTCTCATTTGTTAAAGTTATTTATTGTGAACTTCAAGGTATTAAGGATTAACTAATAATATGTGAATTTTGAGTTATGTCATTCTTAAAGAAAACATGTTAAAATTCTCTTTTGTTAAAATTGTTTACTGTGAACTTCAAGGTATTAAGGATTAACTAAAAATATGCGAATTTTGAGTTGTGTCATTCTTGAAAAAAAAAACATGTTAAAATTCTCATTTGTTAAAATTGTTTACTGTAAACTTCAAGGTATTAATGATTAACTAAAAACATGTAAATTTTGAGTTGTCATTTTTAAATAAAACATGTTAAAATTCTTATTTATTAAAATTGTTTACTGTGAACTTCAAGGTATTAAGGATTAATTAATAATATGTGAATTTTGAGTTGTGTCGTTCTTAAAGAAAACATGTTAAAATTATCATTTGTTAAAGTTATTTATTATGAACTTCAAGGTATTAAGGATTAACTAAAATATGTGAATTTTGAGTTGTGTCATTCTTGAAGAAAACATGATAAAATTCTCATTTGTTAAAATTATTTACTGTGAATTTAAAGTTAATAAGTATTAACTAAAAATATGAATATTTAGTTGTGTTATTCTTGAAGAAAATATGTTAAAATTATCATTTATTAAAGTTGTTTACTGTGAATTTAAAGGTATTAAGGATTAACTAAAAATAAGTGCATTTTGAGTTGTGTCATTCTTGAAGAAAACATGTTAAAATTATCATTTATTAAAGTTGTTTACTGTGAATTAAAAGGTATTAAGGATTAACTAAAAATAAGTGCATTTTGAGTTGTGTTATTCTTGAAGAAAACATGTTAAAATTCTTATTTGTTAAAATTGTTTACTGTAAACTTCAAGGTATTAAGGATTAATTAAAAATATGTGAATTTTGAATTGTCATTCTTGAAGAAAACATGTTAAAATTCTCATTTGTTAAAATTGTTTACTGCGAACTTCAAGGTATTAAGGATTAACTAAAAATATATAAATTTTGAGTTGTGTCATTCTTGAAGAAAAAATTTAAAATTCTTATTTAAAACAAAATTATTTGGTAATTTTTTTATTATTTAATAATAATTATGATTTCTGTTTAATAGATATGTTGATATTAACAATAAATGTAATCGTATCAATTTTTACATTTTTATACTGGATTTTTACGAATTTTATTTGTGCCATTATTATTTTATTCACGCTTGTTATTGCTCATTATTATTCTCTTGTGACATGTGACTGGTTTACAGGATTTTTATGTAAATATTAGGTAAACATAGGAATATTTTTATTGTAAGATTTTGTTAAGTTATAATTTAATGTTATTTATTTATTTTTAATCGATGGATGTTAAACACTGCGATACAAGGGCTATAAAATATATTTTTAGAATTCATATTAAATAGAATAGAATGATAAAATAAAAAAAATCACTTGTTATATTTGCTACTTGTTTTGATTAATAATTGTGAATAATTTTATTATGTTTTTATGGAATTAATACAGGGTCATATCTCATTTTGTGTTTATTTATTCATTTCCCTAATTTGTGAATATTTGAGTACATACCTATTGAGAAATCTTCAACATTTGAATTAAAATACAGAACCTAGTACGCCCCTGGCACTTCGAAAGCCAGATCGGGCCCCAGGACAATTTTCCAGATCAGGACCGCGACGATTTTATAAAAAAAATTTCTCATCCTCTTAAATTTCTCTAAAAAAAGGTCTTTAAGAAAAAAAATTCTCGCCACAGTTATCGGGCCCCCATTTCAGCCCGTGTCCCGAGAATTAGTCCCGGCTGTACCCCCCTCTTATCGGCCCTGCCAAGATGCCATCGAGCGTGACTTGGATGCTATTTTTTCCAGGTTTTGCAATTTTTTATTTTTCTCTATACTTTCGAGATTTTTGTACTGTTTGGACAGGTTTTTATTATCTCTGGTTTCGATTTTGGATCTGCTTTAGGTCTGGGCTTGCATGCAGTAAGTTTTGGGGATATGGATTGTGATCTACCATCTGGAAGCGTCATCTCCTGGGGGTTGTTTCGGCAGGTGATTTATAATTGGCACTACTACAGTCTGTTATAGTGTTAAGGTAGGGTTTTCATTTCCTGAATATTCTGGATCGCTATTGTATGAAAGTATGTTTTGTCTGAGGGCTTATGGTTTTCATCATTTCTTTGTGATTTGTGGTCGTATCGTCTATTACTCTTGGTGATAGTGTATCTTTCGTAGCCTTTTTTATCTTAACTACCTCGCGTTTTCTAAACTTCTGTTCCTTCTTTTGCTTTCTTCGTTGTCTTCTTCTTTGGACTCGTCCGTTAAGGGGTGATATGTGTTTGTAAGGCTCACTTTAGTCTTTTGTTCGACATGTTTGAAAGAGGTCTTTATTTTTGTCGTTTTCTTTGGCTTCATAAATACATCGTTGTCTTTATTAGTTCCATCTACTGCACGTCATTATCGTTTACTAATTGATTTACTTTTTTCCTAAAAAGTAGTTGGTGAGTGTTTGGCGACAAACTGTCCGTCATAGCTGGATGGGGTTGATGCGATGTCTTTTAGGGCCGCTTGGACTTAGTCATTGGCAGTACCCTCTTTTATGGCGTGTGATGGTATCTCAAACTTTTTAATAACAATCTTTAATGGGTTGATTTCTCCACCATTATTGTTTGTCATGTATTCCGAGCGATATTGATTTATTAAGTGAAAAGCAATCTACCTTTTATATAAACTACAGCGAAAAGAGTTTTTAAATACTTATACTGACGAAAAGTATTCAAATAATTTTCCATTTGCTCTAGTGAAAAGTTTACTAAAATGACATGAGTGCAGTTTACCTTAGCAATAATTTATCATTCTCGTGATTACTTTACACCTATATAATAGAAAACGTGCCAACTTTATTTGATCAATCAATTTTTGAACTAAATTGATTTTCCAATTAAAGAAATTGTTTGTTGAAAATCAGATCAAAAACAAATGTTTGGTGATCTTATAGACCTTGATAGACATTCGCACTGTGCTAGTAATTTATATTGTAAATTAAAGACAATTTCGTATTTGGATAGGTAAATCAATTCAGTTTCATGTTTTTCCATTAAAATAATTATAGAAAAAAAAATACCTTTACATTTATGTAAACAAAAAAAAACAGTAATTTACTCACGTTTGAAAAAAAAAACAGATTAAAAATTAAAATCTATTTTGCCTATATTTTAGAATGTCTAAAATGATTTCTGTGAAAGGTAGATGAGATACTTGCATTTTTTGACAGTTCTGCAACTCTACAGCACTTATGTATCAGCTGCCACTGTGTTAATGTCTCAAAATTAAATTACTAATGAATTTAAATTTCTTTATAGCCTTGAAACCCCTTCAAATGAGCTCTCACACTACCATCCATATAATTTTATGTTCTTTGAATGAACAACAAAAATATAGTTTGTTACAAATAAAAATCGACAGAATACCTAACTGAAAATCGGGTAAAATCCGATTTTTGGCAAAAATGAAGTCGCGTTCTGTACATCAAAATACCAACACTGAATAAAAATAAGAAATTGATTTTTTTGGATCGAAAATGGCGACAACACCAACTCACTCCTACCTCTAGCGGTTTAGATACGAATTTTTTAATCGATTTGACTTTAGCAACCTCTATTGCCAAAATAGGTTTTTATTTGCGCCTTTATTACTGAAATGTACATGGACTAAAACAGCGTAGATTTCAAAGTGTAAAAAATTATTTTAAACATCCTACTTCAATTGACGATCATCAAAAATAAATACGTACAAAATCTGTACAATGGGGTTGATTCCAGTTCTCAAATACATTGGACGAATTATTTTTTTAAGAATACGTCACTGTAACGAGTGTAATTCACTGAACTAGTTCGTGAAAGAATCAAAACAAGCCTAATGTGAACCCAAAATACAAGATGGATTCCGAGTATGCGAATAGTGTAGACCCGGATCGTTTTGCCCCGGTCTCTCCCACTTACTTAGATTTTTGTTACCGAGTAATTTTAAGGTTAAATGTATTTTTATTTTATTTTTCCTTGTGCAATATTTCGCAATACGATTGTTATCTTCTGTTATTTTTATTTGTTTACAGAGATCAAATAGATTAGGTTTTTTATTGAGATTTTAATGCTTTCTTGCAAATCTAAAACGGATTTTTTTATTTTATCAGTGCGTTAGAACATAATTAAATAACTTGATTGTACTAATTTAGTTATTAAATAATTGAAGAGGTGAATGGCA